CAACTTGCAGCGCACAGGAGGCACAGCACGATGCGACAAAGGGACAGGATGGAGCCGAGTCGGAAGAGAGTGATGCAACCAAGATGACCTGTGTTCCCATGCAAGTCACCGTCCCTAGCAATCGACCGGGTAGGCAGTACCCTGCACGGGATCTTGAAGCCTCGAACGTGTATGGACGTGTGCAGCCCGAAGTGAGTCGAATGATGGAGCTGCTACGTATGGAGAGATGTTCACCCCACTTTCTGCAAGCTGAACCACGCTTCTCGACCGCAATTCCTTCTGCCTAGGTAAAGTTCACTTCTTATTTGACCTTTGCAACGCGGAGGCCACAGCTCTTGAGCTTCGACAAAGGTGCAATCAAGGACGCTGACTCGGCTGCGCTGCCCACGGAACGCGAAGTGACGCACGAGATGCCCGACGAGAAGTGCGAGGCTGCAAAAGGTGCAACAGACGCACTGTAGAAGTCGTTCCGCCAGCGCAATGACTTTGAGCACCATCAGTAGACGGCGCAGGGCTTTGCGCCTCTGCAAAGCTCATGCATCGCTTCAGCTCATTCATACCTCAAGATGTAACGATACAAGTAGCTTGACAATGTTACTCTATCCATGTAACTCGATTGGAGGGGGCCCCATTTGCAGGGCAGAGGGAGAGGGACGCAGGTATTTACATTCGATTCGAAGGCAGAAAGTATGGATACATTGAAAGGCTGGCCGTGGCTGGCCAATTTTTTTTGCATTGGCTCATTCTTTCCGCTCCACATTTGGCGCGCTGCGCATCGACGCCTGAGGTGGGCAGGACTGGGGCGGCGGATATGGTTGGTTTGAGTAATGTGGCGCTGAAGGCGGAATGGACGGGGGTCGATAGGGCTGTTGGGGGTATGAAGGGCCAGCTGGATAAGGTTGCTGAGGGTATTGTTGAGAGTGCACATGATACTGCGCGGCGGGTTGAGGATTTGGCACGAATCCTTGAGCGCCCATGGCTGGCAAATGTGAAGCATGTGGCTGATAGCCGAGCGGACTGACGATGATAGCCAGGGCTCTTCCACCATCGTGAACACCTTTGGCTTTGAGAGCTCTTCGATGTTGACGTTTGGCGTTCCTCATCTCTTTCTTTTGCCGCTTGCGCTCTCTGCGCATCTCTTTCCTCTCCTTCTTGCCGTACTTCAAACCATCGTGTGTGTATTTGGGAACCTTCTCGTCGTCGGATGATGAGGACGAGCTGCTGCTGCTACTGCTGCTGCTGCTGCTGCCGTGACGAGGACGACCACTCGTCGTCGTGCCACTCAGCAGTGGTGCGCTAGAGTGGACAGGACCTTGAGCCTGAGCGAGGCTTGTGAGCCTCTCTTGTCCCTGAGCAACGTAGACATCCAATCCGCGAGGTGCAAAGAAGCTTTCCGCCCATTCTTCGATGGTCCCGAGTACCACTGGCTCCTTTTTGCGCTTCATAGACCTTTGAATTGCTCTGGAGACGAAGAATGCTGCAGCTCTAGCAGTGCACAGGTGGAAGAGCGCAAGGAAGAGATGTTGAGCGCCGCATGCGGGAATAGGGGCAGGTGTGCATTTCGCAACTTACCCCAGGTGCGCAGTCGTTGGCAAGACGAGGTCGGTGAGAATTCTTTGACCTCCAGAGAGCCTGCCAGCCACCTCGATGTCTTCGAGAAACCTGGCCCAATCAGCAATGCTGACATTGTGATCCACCATGACTGGGCCGGGATAGGCATTCGCAAAACC